GAAGTGGCAGAGGCACCAGAGGGCATGCTGTGTGGAGGCACTTGTGCAAGGAAGGTTGAATGGGCAGCAGGTGAGCTGGGAACAGCCAACAGCTGTGTCAGTTTGATCATCAACTGTGGAATTAAGCAATGCAGCTTTGCACTTTCATTCAGTTAGTATAAAAATCACTGATGCATGCCATGCATTTGTACCTGGATATCCAAGCTTCATCACTAGTGCAAAAGCATAGTGCTTCTTTGCTCTTGCTGAGATTCAGAATGATTCAGTTCACTGACTGCCACTTCGGTTTGTCCCAAAGGGCGGTTCTGGAAAGGCCAGAGCTGTTGTGATACCAGAGTTCTGTTTATGCTACAGTTAACATGACTGCCACCTGTCAGCAGCTGGCTATGGTTCAGATCCAAGCATGGCTCATACATCTCAAAATCAGAGGGATTACTGTATATCATATCTTTTCTTACAAGTACCATCTCACCAGAGTAGTTCAAGAGAACACGATCTGTCTCCTGAATAAACTGGTTGAGTCTGCATGGAGAGCACTGTGTAGGTGGGGTTCATTCTTTGATGCACAGCTGGCAAATACGGTGTTGCCTATGCTAGACTATTGGACACACAGTTTAATCGTACTGTAATGGTTCTTGAATGCTTTCTGGTGTGCTGAAGTTTCTTTTTTAGCTTCAGTTGCAGCCAACATTCTCCCACTTATTACCTCCTAGAAAGTAATCGAACTGATCACCAAGGTAATGTATTAGTTACCACAGCTTAAGGACATATAGAAGCTACTCTGCTAGTAACTGTGAAGTCTTGTTTGCTGACTGTTGCAAAAATCACTATGTGAGAATATTACTAGGCCAGGAGAGTATCCACATATCTTTGAAAACCTGTGCAATCTCTGAAACCATCTTACATGAATTCAGGTATTTCACTTTAATGTTTCAAGACATTTCATTTTTGGAATACAGAAGAGAGCCAAGTACTGAATGTCCTTTAGTAACACTGAAGGAAAGAAGGAAAGAAGTGGAGCTGCTCCCCCATTACATGGGATAGAACAACGGTGAAAGTTTAGGATGCTGTCATCTGTCCGGGGTAACAATCAGCCCTCTCCAGCAATAAATCTGTGCTGAGATAGCTGGTTTTGATTTGCAGCACTATCTTAATAGAAGAGGTTAAGAAAATAATTTTGTGGTTACTTCTTCTAAAGAAAGTCAACAATTTGCACACCTAGATACTTTAAACCCAGAATCATCAGTTTGGCAAGCTATTTTATTACAGCTAGTTTTGAGCAAAAAAAAACGAGCTGCAAAACTTTTTTTTTCTTTTGAGTTTTGCATAGGAGAACTGACAACCTTTCATCCTTTAAATTTTGAAGAAAAAGTGTGTTTTAAAGTTATATGTCTCACTTGCTTAAAATGAACTGTCAACAAGCAGTGATAAGCACAAGTTAGTAGGTTCCTGAAGACCAGAAATGAAGAGATGAAGTTAGAGCTTTCAGCACAGTGACTACAGAAGCATGACTGGGCAGGCAGCTCCCCACAGAACCCAGTGCAGAAGGGAAGGGAGTTAAAAACCGAACAAGGAAAAGTCTCATGCAGCCTGTATTTGTGGAATAGCAGCCCTAACTCCGCACTTGGAAAATTATGCAAGTGCAAACTTTTGTTGGAGGAGCTTGAGTAAGATTATTGTAAATTCAAATAATTCATATAGAAATAATTATTAAATACTTACCATGTTCCTAAAAAAAGAAAACAATTTGAATTGGTTTTGGAAAATAGTATTCAGTGTGATTTACCATTTACATAGATACAAAACAGGTCTACCTCGGAAGATGTGTGACTTGCAAAGCATAAGCTTAAGTTCACATCAGGAAAATATTTTTTAAAATCTCCACCACAGTCTATGTTTATTTTGCTTTACCTATGAGATGGTACATCTGAAATTGATTCTGGGAATATCAAAAAGTCTCTTTATATTGGCTTATTTGTAATCACAGCCAGGAACACCTCAGTGGAAAGTTATGAATAAGAGTCAGAGACTATGACTTCTTTCAGCTCTTGGAGAGAAGTAAACATAGCTTAGTCTGAATCTACTGCATCTAATTTGCAAACTACCTGGGACACAGTATGACCTGACCCAAGAATCAGAAATGTATTTATTTTTAATTCCTATTAGTTGTATCCTGCAAGTGTGCTGTGACATTCTTTGAAAACCTGAGTTGATGAAATGGCTAAGTGTGACTACACTTCTACGTACACTTATATAACACACTCTAAAACCACTCACCAAGGGATGACTCCATCTTTTTAGGCCTGTATTTTAATTCAGACTAGGATAGTGTGATTTGGTATGTGTTCTTAAAAAAATATTCAAATGCTCATCTTTAATAAGTTGAGAAGAATATGACAAATGCAGAAAGCATGTTAACTAAAATAAATTACTTCAGTCCCTCCACTGTGAGACAATGTTTTTATAATTAAACTACAAATACGCAATCATGAGTCACTCTGATGGTACATTATGTTAGTCTGAATTGTAGATATGACTAAAAAAAAGTAAGTTTTGGTGTTAGTTGTGTGTACAGGGTTATAAACTACTGAAGTTTTATACACTGGAAACAACTCTTCAGTATTTCCATAGGACAAGGTAATATGCAGGCATGCTGACAATGCTGTACAATACATGATTTATGAAACCCACATGTCAAGAATCAATTGTGTTGAAAAGTCTCAATTTTTGTTTTTAAGGTTTTTCTAAAGCATTCAAACAGATCCCATATAGTCTATAGCTTTGAGTTTTGTGTGGTTTCTTTAATAGTACTATATTGTAATTTACAGTAACTGAGCTGGTACTCTCTCCCAACCTTTCTTTATGTATGGAGATTTGCACTAGAGCTCTCTGAAAAATCTGTTTAATTCAGGACCTCTTACATGTTGCAGGAGACTGATAAAGCAGTATTTCATTGGCCACAAAAGTTTAATTTTAATACTGGCTTGTTTTTCCTGGATTTTCTGTCAGAAAATCTGTAGACAAAGACATGTAATGCTATAAAGATTGATATGCTTAGATTCGGTTCAGTATAGTTCTTAAGTTGTCCCATCGAAGTCAAAGACGTTTTTGCAATTGCTTAATACAGAATCCAAACACAAGTAGGGTTTTTGCGTAGGCATGTTTGTTTGCACTGAAAAATCTTTTGTTTTGTTTGGTTTTTTTTTTAATTGAACATATGACCTTTATACTTGCTCTCCTGGTTCATAAGTAGCAATCAATAGGTTTACAATCGGTCAACTTATAAACATCTTTGGTTTGGTTTTCTTCTTTTTTCCTCCCACCTCTCTTTAAGTAGAGTAAATAATTTATAGTTTCATTTACGATTTTGTTTGTCCAAGCTAAAACTCGTAGTCTCGTAGTTTTCTGACAGCTTCTGTATTAATCCTCATCTCAGTGGCACCTGCTAATAGGGCCATAGTTGATAAGCTCCAGGCTTTCATGCCACTGACTACAGCTAACAAACTACTTTTCACTCCAGGTTATCATAGAATCATAGAATGGTTTGGGTTGGAAGAGACCTTTAAAGGTCATCTGGTCCAGCCCCCTGCAATGAGCAGGGACATCTGCAACTAGATCAGGTTGCTCAGAGTCCTGTCCAACCTGGCATTGAATGTTTCCAAGGATGGGACATCTACCACCTCTCTGGGCAACCTGTTCCAGTGCTTCACCACCCTCACTGTAAAAAATGTCTTCCTTATATCTAAGTCTGAATCTACCCTCTTTTAGTTTAAAACCATTACCCCTTGTCCTATTGCAACAGGCTGTACTGAAAAGTCTGTCCACATCTTTCTTATAAGCCCCCTTTAAGTATGGAAAGGCTGCAATAAGATCTCCCCGCAGCCTTCTCTTCTCCAGGTTGAACAGCCCCAGTTCTCTCAGCCTTTCCTCATAGCAGAGGTGTTTCATCCCTCTGATCATTTTTGTGGCCCTCCTCTGGACCCGCTCTGACAGGCCCATGTCTTTCCTGTGCTGAGGACCCCACAGCTGGACGCAGTACTCCAGGTGGGGTCTCACCAGAGCAGAGTAGAGGGGCAGAATCACCTCCCTCGCCCTGCTGGCCACGCTGCTTTTGATGCAGCCCAGGAGACGGCTGGCTTTCTGGGCTGCGAGTGCACATTGCCGGCTCATGTCCAGCTTGTCATCCACCACCACCCCCAAGTCCCTCTCCACAGGGCTGCTCTCAATCCCTTCATCCCCCAGCCTGTACATCAGTACCAGGGGTTGCGCTGACCCAAGTGCAGGACCTTGCACTTGTCCTTGTTGAACCACATGGACCCACTTCTCGAACTTGTAATGGTGATGTTTTCAGATCACTGGGAATTTGCTGAATTGGGGAAATATCAAATGGGGGGACAATTTGTAATCAACAGTAGAAAAAACATTGGATTGAATAAACCATTCGTTTAGTCTGGTATTCAAAGAATTAAAAAGCATGATCTGAACCAAGTTAAGGTGGAGCAGCAGGGCGTGAAGCATTCCCTTTTTGATCTTCTGTGTACCTACTTCAAGCATTTTCCATGCAAGCTCTTCCCCCCTTTTGTGGAACCCTAATGATGAAAGGCAGTCCAAAGTGACTAATAGGAAAACTTGAGAAACCCTCCCTGTTCCTGTGAAAATTATTCAGTACATTTGGGAAAATACGTTACATAGAAAAAGACAAGACAAGAGGGTTCAGTACATGAAATAAAATCCAGCAGACCAAACTCTAGCTGTGTTTTTCAAAATGGGTCTTCACAAAAGTGGTTACCTTATAATATTAGGGTCTACTAAGAAAGAAAAAAACCACATAAACAAAAACAACAACAACAACAAAACAAACAAAAAAAACCCATAAAAACTTGGATATTTTTTGCTGTGCACAAAAATAAGTCACAGTGCTAAAATCTTGCCATGCATATTGTACAAGTAATAACTTTCCATTCTTTCACTGTGTTTGAGCTATGTTGGTTTTTTTGTAGGATGTCGCATGTACTGCAGTTCGAAGATAGACGCAGGAAGGTGAAAGATGCAAGCATGCAGGATGAAGACACTTTTGAGATCTATGATCCACGGAATCCTGTAACTAAGAGGAGAAGGGAAGAAAGCAAGAAGATAATGAGAGAAAAAAAGGAAAGGAGATAAAAAGAATGTAAAGCTAGCCAGAGCTGCCTTGAAATGTGACTGCAATAAAGCACTGGCTCTTTTGTAAGCTGTAGTTCCTAAAAATATCACTGGACAAGTGTGAAAAGGAATCTCTGAAGAACCTGTCGTGCAGTTTTGAAGCGGAGCTATCATTTGTTTCTTAAGTTGTGCAGTCAAGTGCTCTCAGTGCATTCATTATCCAACCTCTCTAAAGGTTTTTAGAATTATGTATTTAATAAAACAGCTGACTTGACTTTTGTCTGTACTTCAATTACAATAGTCACCATCATTGTTTAATCAACATATGATAATCAAAAAGTTTTCAACATAATGAATGAGAATTTGTCTAAGGGTGAAATTAGAAGACAGAAACCCCATCTGCAGGCTTTTAAGATTTTCTGAAAGTATCATTTTAGTTATTTCTGTTATTATTTGAAAAGGCATATAAACATTACAGCAGTAAACGCTGCCAGCCTGAACCAGTCTGTCACAGAATTAAGATGATGCACTTGCAGAACTCCTTAGAATGGTCCCAGCTTTCTTGAAACAAACTAAGTTTAACTTGAGAATTTGGTTATTTTCTCCTTCTTTTGAAATACATATTCCAATACAGATCCCAGCTTGGGAAGCTGGGATAATACACAATTTGCGGACTGTTATTTTCACTATCGTACCACATGAATAAAAGAAGAATCTGAATGTACTGTAGTGGTTGCTGTTGCAATACCAGAAACATCCCTCTGGTAGAATTTTCACTGTAAAGTAGCTGGTAATGAAAATTGGTTTGTTAATTAGTCCAGTACAGAAACAAAAAAAAAAAAATGTGATCAGTCTCATTAAAAACATAACCCTGTTTTTAACAATTATGTTACCATCTAAAAATGAACATTTCAAGTTTCTGTCTATAGACTTTCCACAGATTTTTCCCCCCTGGGTGCTAGTATTTTTACAGAAAAAAGGGAATTTTCAGTGCTCCTTCCTTACAGCATTTCTGACGCCTCAGAAGCATGGACTACCCGTATGGGCAATAGCTGAAGAAGAGTGAGCACAAATGGGCAAGGTCATTAAAAAGTGCAACCAGAGGAGTGTTTTACTGTTGTTGTTTTTAGAACAAGTTCAGTAAGGTATGGTGTCCTTATCAAACTGCCACTGCCAAATTTCTCGATAGGGTCTGAGGTGTGAGATCCATAAACCTGCATTGGTGGGTTAATATGGCCCAAATGTCAGAGGTTAGATTAATAACGACTCTTTCTTTAATGTGCGGTGCAACCTTTGAGATAAGAAGAAAACTTGGAGGTGTGATGTGAGATCCTGTATAAAGCTGTCATTATCCTCCTCTTAGGCTGAGTGAATTATACTGTACCATGGTGTGAAGATGTTAAGAGGGGTTACATTCTTAAACACAGCCATTCACAAACTAGTGAGTCAAAGTTTTTTAATCATTAAGTCATTTTCTGTCAGGCTGCTGTTGGCAAAATCAAGAACATCTAATGTCACATGATGTTATCTCTATTCATTGCTTTGTGGAGAAAATTTTAAGAGACTCATTACAGGAAATGAGGATATCAAACCCCCATTCTGATGGGGATGGGCGGGAGGAAGAGAGAGAGTGTGTGTGCGTGTTGGCAGAGGAGGTCAGCATGGGGGAAGCGAGGGCTAGATCTAGCAAGAAACTTGAGCATCAATTCCAGGAGACAGCTACTGCCCCTGTAATAGAAAAATGTTCTAATTACATACTTTTCCTGTAAGCTAAAGTAGGATGCATGAGTCAATGAACAGGCAAGTTGACTAACACCCCTTTCAGCTGAATCTTTTTGCTGACTACCTGCAGCAGCTCTGTGTGTGCTGTATTAGATGATTCCTGTTTTTAAGCACTAGACAAGCACAAGGAGAAAAGCTTAACTCAGGGTTTAGGGCTCTGCTCAATAGGAAGAGGTCTGAAAGGCTGGACCTTGCATACACAGGACTGATCACAAGAACAAGAGAGTAACTATTGACATTTTCTTGATAAGTGAAGTGTATATTGAAAATCAGTAAACATTTTTCCAGAGATAATATATCTTATGTAATTAATGCTACAGTTGAAACCAAATGTGTTGCCTGTTGAAGATAATTCTAAGTACTACCATGTTACGGTTTGTGCTAGGAGAGCACAAGGGCTGGCCCCAGTGGAAGGATGCCTATCCCAAGCAGCTGTCTTTCCTATGTCTGATGAATATCACTTCAGTTGTAATGGGCATTTACTGCATTAAGCCCAGGTTCCCAGTAGTAAGCTGGCATGTGCTTTGCACTAAGGCTGGCTATCTGGACACAAAGGAGGAAAGCCTTTCAGAAAGTGGAGTGGAGTGGAAAGGAAGTGGAGTTTGGTTTCAGGGTTTTTTTAAAATGAGGATTGGGACCAGCTTCCCTGGCAGTTTGCATTTGGCTCTGTACCAAACCCATACATAAGGGTAAGGATATCTGGATTAAAATCCTTCCATTTTCTTGTGACTGTGAATGGAAAATTCACTTTACCTTGATGGGGACATCTGGAAATGCCAGGCCCTGGATGCTTCGTGAAGATATTTGGACTACTCGTCTATAAAATCAGTCCTGCACCACAAGGGCTTGGCACAGAGCCTTGTGCAGGCAGAACTTGCCATGAGGGAGCATCAATGAGAAATGTTACAAATAAATTAATTCAAGCATTTTTTGGTTATCAATTCTATGTGATAAAAATATTTTATAATACTTATTTCCCAGATACATAGAGTCTCTAAACAGTTTTTAATAATTGCAAGTGATTGTTACAAGTGAGGGAAAGAACAAAACTATGCTTGTAGGAAAGAAACCACACCTACACAGTAAAGTTACCTTCCATTTCTAAGGCAGGCAATTTTAATAGGGATCCCTGTCCTTATTTCATCTTCATTCAACCCAGTGACAAAACTTCCCTAGCACTAAGGACGGACATACACTACACTATGAGAACATCAGAAATGTGTTAAAACTAGCAGACAGCTAATCAATTGAGAATCTCCTAGAAATGGGATAAGGTGTCTAAATTTTATTCATTTCACTAAGGCAAAAGTAGTTCTGCATTTCATTTAGGGGAGGTCTGGAGTGAAGTTATGAAAAGCTGATGTTGGAAGCACACTCTCAAGTAACTTAAACTCAACACCGAAGAGTAAGAACCTCGAAGAAAGAGATTGAAAAGATGACAGTTCCCTGAACAACTAGTTTGCAATGTCACAGCTAGCTCCTATACTGCCAGTAACAATCCTGCCTGTCTCCCATACTGCTAGGCTAGCAGAAGCATCTTTTAACTCAAAACTATTTCATTCATCGTCTGATGTTGCTATAGCTACATAAAATGTTGAATGCTACAGGATTGCAGTATTTTTTATAGACTATGAAATACATATGCTCAGAGTTACACCGTTTATTGTCAATACTGAAAAGCTGGTGGGAAATGCATTGTGGGCAGGTGTCCCATTCTCTGTGAAGCAGAAGTCTTGTGCTAGGTTAGTGGCTGAAAACTGAACAAACAGTCTGGTTTGTGGCTGTAGAAAGAATTTGTTCTATGGTAGTGAGATTTTTCACTAAATATGTTTTCTTGAATCTTTTTATTAAGCATCTCCCACGTTCCACCCTGGCGGCTAGCACCTCACCTATCTGTATACATATGCGAGCATAATTTCTACATAGTTGGAACATGTAGCTAGGAACATGTCTGTGCACTATTAATACAAAACCAGTGTTCTGGCACGCACTTGTGAAGTTTTCCTTTCTAAAAGATGCTACTTATGTGCACAGCTCACCCAGCTTGAAGATGCACACCACAATGCTGGTATGTAAATAATTTCTGTGAAAAAGTCACTGTTTAAAATTGCAGGGTATGCTCTGCTTCCCGACCACCACCACCTGCTTTTTTGAGTACTCATTTCAATGCACTAAAAATGGTGTCAGTCCAAACTAGGGCTGAATTTTGAGATAGAGCACAAAGGCCAGGGCTACCTATTTTTAGTGGCAGCTAAATTGCAATTTCAATACATACTAGCTTTGCTGCCAACACAGTGGGCCAGTGTCTACAGTCTGTGAGACTGAGTCCTTCCGTCATGCCTGCCTTCGATGTAATGGGGCCTTTCATTTCATTAGAGGGAATTTAACTTTCCTAAATTAAAAGAACGGGTGGGGGGAAAGTCTTACGTCCCTGCACAGAGCATTCTGTTGGTAAAGTTGACATTTTTGTTTCCAGATCAGCTGCATTTCAAGTAGGTAAGGTCCTTCTAGGCTACATCTGGTAATAGAAAGATCCTCAAGAACAGCGTAAAGGTTTGCCTCACAAATCCTGTCGGTGATGCCAACAGCTAGTACAATGTGCCCTTTCTGCTTTGGAGCTAAAAAAACCCTGAAGTACAGCTGAAGCTGGCTTATTTCTGCTGAATAGCCACTACGCCTAGGCTGCTAGGGGTGTAGTCTGCAATGCCACATTACGTAGCTTTCCCTGAGCTGCTGGATTACAGCACGAGCAGGTTTGGGAAGAGGTTGTTCCGATACTGTCTCACTTCCCCAGTAGAAGGGTGTCTGAACTCTGATGGTTAAAGTAACTCCACACTAATGCTGTCTGCCTTCGTCTAGAGGACCTCAAATTTGCAGGAGACACAGTTATGTTTTGGCAACATAAAAACTAGCTTCAGACAGAATGGATAGCTCCAGACTCTGCCTCATTCTGGCAGAGACATGTGAGTCTGTCGTTACTTAAATGATGACAGACTTGGGCTGTTAGAAGATGAGGAGACTCCTATGTGCATATTCTCAGTAAAAGATGTAGATATTTGCTTATATCTTTCACTGTAACAAAACACGAACTGATCATTCAGTGGCTATGCTTATAAGGTTCCTGCTGAAACTGAAGTGTATACAGCACAGAGGATGTAAACTGAAAAGTGAGACCATGTCTCCTGATGGTTCTTATCCTGGTGTAGAGTGTTAGACCAACCAGGAATATCTACCAAATG